CCTAGTTAAGACAAATTGGTCCCACCATCTAAATTGCGAAGTCAATGAGCACTTCGACGACCGAGCTTCACTTTGTTCCTTTCGGAATAGTAATCAGAATCGAATACGTACTCCACCTTTCTTTCCCATTGAATATACGCCTCGGGATCACTCTTACCTTGAAAAGATGGAATAGTCATATTCACTGAGGTAAGGTTTCGATCTACGCCATCTCTTTCTCGACCAAAATATCCTCTGATACCAACTGATACGAACCCCGTAGAACTTGTTACGAGACCCAATACCCTACGCGGAAGCAAGATCGAAGACACCCAAAAACAAAGATTCAAGTTTGGCGGAAGCACGGAACAATGACCCCATAGCTATAAAGAGCTAGAAACCATTATTATCAAGGTGAAATATAATATTGACCCCGTGGTTATAGAGAACCAGAAACCAATACTATGGCGCTAAGAAAGTTACAAGAATCCACTTGTAAAATTCCGAAGAATGCTGTAGAACAGCGAAGGAGAATTGATCTCTCAAAGTACTCAAATATTCAATAAAATTCGTCTTAGAAAATAAGCCAAATTGGCAACCTATTTATAAGGTCTAAAAAGACTCCTTTTTCACAAGAAAAATGACTCCTACCTAAACTATAATAAGGAAACTTGTAAATAAGCAAATCCTAACCATAAAAGACTCTAAAATAATAAAAACATAATAAAACCTAAATTAAAAACGTGAATAAGTAAACTAAATAACTTGATCTTCAAGTCGGCTTCTCGATCACCCTTCTAATCTCGCGACATTGGGCTGTGCACGTGCATGCAATTAAAGCTCAATTTCGACACTGTTCCACTTCGAATATCTCTTTGCTCAAAACATGAAAGTTGTAGATCTTTCAGTTAGCTTTCCGAATCATTTTGAATCATCTCAATCAAACTTCGGATGCGAGAGTTATAACCCGAATGGTAAACTCTGCCAAAATAGGCGAGAATCTCGGATGCATGGAATTCGACTTGTCCAACGACTTCTTCTCTTTCTTTTCTTCCAATTCCAAGCCACGGACTCTTCAATAGTCTTATTCAGCCCTTTACTCTCCATGGACAGCTCGAATAATGTCTTTAAACTCGTACGCTTTCGCGTCTTCCAATTCTCTGTCATGGAGCATCTCTGGATCGTATCACTATAGGTACAAATTGATAATTAGGTGTCCATGAAGCAAAAATGATCAAAGAGTAAGAAAAGAGTTGCAATTAGGAAAATAAAATCAAAATAGAAGAGAGGATCCCTCAACATCTTCGGTAGTGCCCACGAAGTCGAGCATAACTTTCTCATCCGGACTCCAAATCGACTGGTTCCGGCGGCATTAGAAAGGTATTTCAGGTGGCTACAATTCCTGTCTAATGTCAAATTTCCAAATTCGGACTCGAACATGGTCAAAATTGGATTCCAACCGCGATCATGAAATACCCGCTACAGTTCGAGGACACGAATGCGCATCAGGAAACGTGCACAAAAACACTCGCTACAACAGATACGCACATAAGTAAAAGTACAATATCATGCACAAAATTACTCACGCAAATCTGCATTCGCAAAAAGGGTCATGAAAACACAAACTACAATCCTAGGACATTAATACAAATCAACAAACATGCACAAACACACTCGCTCAAATGGACATGCACAAACATACATGTAAAAAAACATGCCCAAAAGTGCATTCGCAACAACGTTCTTAAAAACACGAAGTATAACACTAGGAGTTTAATGCGCATAACCAAACAACAACAAAAAAAAAAGATACAAAAGATACGGTGGAGTGTAGAAATAACACTCAACGTTTACGTTTACGTGGATTTTTTTATGGATTAATTTATATTTCTGTTTTAATTGGTGGATTTAGTACTCTATAGGTACAAATTGATAATTAGGTGTCCATGAAGCAAAAATGATCAAAGGGTAAGAAAAGAGTTGCAATTAGGAAAATAAAATCCAAATAGAAGAGAGGATCCCTCGACATCTTCGGTAGTGCCCACGAAGTCGAGCATAACTTTCTCATCCGGACTCCAAATCGACTGGTTCCGGCGGCATTAGAAAGCTATTTCAGCTGGCCACAATTCCTGTCTAATGTAAAATTTTCAAATTCGGACTCGAACATGGTCAAAATTGGATTCCAACAGCGATCATGAAAATACCCGCTACAGTTCGAGGACACGAATGCGCATCAAGAAACGTGCACAAAAACACTCGCTACAAAAGATACGCATATAAGTAAAAGTACAAAATCATGCACAAAATTACTCACGCAAAACTGCATTCGCAAAAAGGATTATGAAAACACAAACTACAATCCTAGGACATTAATACAAATCAACAAACATGCACAAACACACTCGCTCAAATGGACATGCACAAACATACATGTAAAAAAACATGCGCAAAAGTGCATTCGCAACAACGTTCTTAAAAACACGAAGTATAACACTAGGAGTTTAATGCGCATAACCAAACAACAGCAAAAACAAAAGATACAAAAGATACGGTGGAGTGTAGAAATAACACTCAATGTTTACGTTTACGTGGATTTTTTTATGGATTAATTTATATTTCTGTTTTAATTGGTGGATTTAGTATTCTATAGGTACAAATTTATAATTAGGTGTCCATGAAGCAAAAATGATCAAAGAGTAAGAAAAGAGTTGCAATTAGGAAAATACAATCCAAATAGAAGA